TATTTAAATTCCGCCCCCACTCATCACCACTAGGAAACATGGCAGGCCAGCAAGGATACCGCACGGTTGCATACTTCGTCAACTGGGCCATCTACGGGCGCAAGCACCGGCCGCAGGACCTACCCGCAGACAAGCTAACACACATCCTGTACGCCTTCGCAAATGTGCGCCCCGAGTCCGGCGAGGTGTATCTAACGGATACCTGGGCCGACACGGACATCCACTGGGAAGGCGACAGCTGGAACGACAGCGGCACAAACCTATACGGCTGCCTCAAGCAGCTCAACCTCCTCAAGCGCAAGCACCGACAGCTCAAAGTACTACTATCCGTCGGCGGCTGGACCTACAGCAGCAACTTCAAGCAACCCGCCTCCACGCCCAAAGGCCGCGCCACATTCGCCAGCTCCTGCGTAGAGCTGATCCGCAACCTCGGCTTCGACGGCATCGACATCGACTGGGAGTACCCGCAAACCGCGTCCGAAGCCGCGGACTTCGTCTCCCTGCTCCGCGCCGTGCGCGAAGCCATGGACGCCTACAGCGCCACGCTCCCCACCCCGTACCACTTCGAGCTCACCGTCGCGTGTCCCGCCGGCGCGCAAAACTACAGCAAGCTCGACCTGCCCGCCATGGACGCGCTGCTGGACTTCTGGAACCTGATGGCGTACGACTACGCGGGGTCATGGGACGCGGTCTCAGGCCACCAAGCGAACCTGTTCCCGAGCGCGTCGAACCCGCAGGCGACGCCCTTCAGCACCGCGGCGGCGGTCGACTACTACACGTCGCACGGCGTAGCCCCCGAGAAAATCGTGCTGGGGATGCCGCTGTACGGGCGGGCGTTCCAGGGCACGGAGCGGCCGGGCGCGGCGTACAGCGGGGTGGGCGAGGGGACGTGGGAGAACGGCGTGCACGACTACAAGAAACTCCCGCTGCCGGGCGCGACGGAGCACCTGGACGAGGAGGCCGGCGCGAGCTACTGCTACGCGCCCGGCTCGAAGACGCTGGTGAGCTACGACACGGTGGCGATGGCGCGGAGGAAGGCGGCGTGGCTGAAGGAGCAGCGGCGATTGGGCGGCGCCATGTGGTGGGAGAGCAGCGCGGATAAGGAGAGGGAGGAGAGTCTGATTGCGAATGTGGTGGATGTGCTGGGCGGCCTGGGGGCGCTGGATGCGACGCCGAATTGCATTGATTATCCTCAGACCAAGTACGATAATCTCAGGGCAGGATTCCCGAATAACTAGGAGAGCTAGATGAATGGGAAGGGTGGGAAAACAAATGTGGCAGGGTGTTGCAATTACGAGGCGCCTAAAAGCACTCGGGATACGAAGTTCTACGAATAGACGACCTAGATACTGACGATAACCATTGCTCATACTTCTATGGCTTCATGATACTATACGGTAGGCGCCATACCAATATTTGCCACAAAGTCTCGAGGCGTAATATCGAACCGATCTACGAGTCATCGCGAAGATGGAAGTCGAATCCTCACATTTCACAATATAGACTGAAATTTTGGTTCATGAATTCGTATTCATCGGGACTGAGCCAAGTCATCTATGCCATGCCATGATTACCCCATAAGCCCTGTCCTAGTTTTCCGAATCCCTAATCCCACGCGACTCCCAGTTGAACAGCCAAGAGTTTAGTTCTTGTCGAAGACGTAGGTAAGGTGGCAGCGACCACAGTACTGTCGGTCCTGCATGGCGGCCATGAAGACACCAGCACCGCACTGTTGAGATAAAATTAATACCATGATCTATGTTATGTAGTCAGATGTAAATTACTTACGGTATCAGCAGGGCACTCGCGGCGCAGACGCTCAATCTTGCCGTCACCGTCGACCTTGTAGTACTTGAGCACAGCTAACTTGGTCTTCTTGCGCTTGTGCTTGATCTTCTTGGGGGTGGTGTACACCTTCTTCTTGCGCTTCTTGGCACCACCACGGAGGCGGAGGACAAGGTGAAGGGTGCTCTCCTTCTGGATGTTGTAGTCGGAGAGGGTACGGCCATCCTCGAGTTGCTTGCCGGCGAAGATCAGTCGCTGTTGGTCCGGGGGAATGCCCTCCTTGTCCTGGATCTTGGACTTGACATTGTCGATGGTGTCAGAAGACTCCACCTCAAGGGTGATAGTCTTGCCCGTGAGGGTCTTAACGAAGATCTGCATGATTGCCTACCGGGGCGTTAGAGTTGGGTCAATACAAGGCATGATGATAAGGGAACCAAAGGGGGTGGGAGACGAATTCCGAAGACGATCGCAACGCAAGCCGCGCGGCACTGGCGCGACCTGGTTGACGATACAGACAAATTATGAAAAGGGGAATACGATGAGGTTACGAATATCAACCCTATCGTATCGGAGAATCAAAGAAACGTACCTAGACAATAATCGTATTGCCGTCCTAAGCAACCTGAAGATGGTCTCTTGGTTGTAAAAAGGAAAAAAGAAGTTGGAGGGGCGTAGGCGCCGTAAAAGTATGTAGATTATTGTGGTGGGTCCGGCGCAAAATGTTTAGGTAATTCGGGCTTGCGGTGTCAATCTTCATCACGTGCTAGGGTTTGTCCCTCTATTTGCCCTTTCGCACCAGCCCCTCAATCGTCAATTGTGCCCTGAAAGTCCCAGTGGCATTCTAATTGGTTCAATCTTACCACTGTGCAGTGGGGCTTTCTCAGGAGTTTCCGACCTGACAAATTTCGGCGCACCATTTTCAATAGAAACTGAAATCAGTATTCCAAGACCAACTTTCCTCTTGACAACTTCGACAATCACAAACCGTACGTGACTATACCCTCTCTCTCTCCCAACTCGAGATTCCACCACTTTGAATCGGATTACTAGTCTAACACTACAATCAACAGAATACCGCAATCATGGTCAAGAAGAGAAAGAACAACGGCCGCAACAAGAAGGGCCGCGGCCACGTCAAGCCCATCCGATGCAGCAACTGCTCGCGATGCACCCCTAAGGACAAGGCCATCAAGCGCTTCACCATCCGCAACATGGTTGAGTCCGCTGCTATCCGTACGTCTACCTACGCTCCGTGGTCTCCTCACTACGTTCCCTACAGTCTTGATTTTACACAGAACCAATCGTATATGGACTGGGCTGACCAATAATCTACAGGTGATATCTCGGATGCCTCCGTCTTCTCTGAGTACACGGTTCCCAAGATGTACCTCAAGCTGCAGTACTGTGTCTCTTGCGCTATCCACGGCAAGATTGTCCGGTACGTCGTCTCGTCGAGAGAACGACTACGCGCTCATCAGGGCCGCGTATGTGCCTGAGATGAGCCTTGGTTGAACCTCGAACGAATACGCCCCTCGCTCCCCTCTCCCAATCCGATAGAACAACCACAGCTGACAATATTACTCTAGTGTCCGATCGCGCGTCGGTCGCCGCAACCGCGCTCCTCCCCCGCGTGTGCGCTACAACAAGGATGGCAAGAAGGTGACTCCCACTCAGACTGCCAAGGTTGCGTAAATGCCAATGCCTTCTTTTCGGTGTCTTTGGGAGTGAAACGGGTCTGGGAAGAATCTGGTCATCGGAAATGGGTCCGCTTGCATGAAACATGAAGCATGAAGCACGGTTTTCGGCACGATGATTGCCTCAGATAATGACTTATACGAATAGAGTCACATTGCCACGACGCAAACGAACTTCTAGTGGTTATATCCACACAAGTTTTTGTCCCTGTGATGTCCATTCTGAATTTCATGAACAACCAGGGAACTTTTCTCGCGAGCCAGAGTTGACTTCCACAAATTGACGCAATATAAAGCATGAGGGTGACTTGTTCGCTAGACTAACACTAGCCCTGTCCGCTGTGGTATCGGGAAAATTGACGCCCACATGGGGGAAAGGGTTTATTTCACTCATCAAAGCTTGTGGGTCGTACTTCAACGATCACCGATTGGACGGACGTCTAGTTTGAATTTGACAGTTTCCCATCCTATTTCAGCTGTTACAGCCACATATGAGAGTTAGATCGACTCCATAAACGAGGCCATAGAGATCTGTGTGAATTCAACCTGTATATGAGATAATTCCCAGGGTCATGTACAACAGCTAGGAGTGTGAGAAGAAGAATATGAGTGATTCCGTAAGGGACCAGAATCGAGGGTCGGAGACCGTCAGAACTAAGTAAAAACCATGATCCAATGCGCCTTTCCCGGAAAACAAGTGCTGGATCAACCTCTTGATCTATAGGGAGACCAACTGAATAATGCACCTCTCCCACCTACACGTCCACAGCCTGCAATTCTCGACGATGTGCTGTTCTGGAGGGACCACCGACGATAGCCCTCGCACACACAGGCAGTACCAGATCTCACAGATATGATAGAGGAAAGTCGAAACCTACAGGTGTGGCTACAGGTTTGACAGGCCTTACCACTGACAGCGAGACCCATTCGTGCTCGCAGGCAACATCGCCCTGTTGATGCTCGTCAATTCCACCCTTACCTGGTTGATTTGGGACTGGTCGCCTCGATCTCTTCGGCTGCTTCGGGCAAGGAAAAGGAGTGTCCTAAATCATCTACAGTGCCTACATCTGACTAATTACATATCGACGGGACAGGTGCCCAAGTGATTGTCGTTAGAAAGTCCGCCGTAGTTTTGATTCATATCGCAATGGGAGCGTATCGACAGCTCCGACCCCGGGCATCAGCGGCTCCGAAAAAAGTCATTGTGTAATCCGGCGCAGCCCAGATATTGCGCCACTGCCCACAAGTTTCCTTTGGCAGGTGGAAAAGAGGTCAAAAATCGCAAAAATACGCGACGATAAGAGCCACATCATGATCGTTAATGAAGGAAATGCCTAAACTTGAGAGTTCAATGGATGTGCACCCATAAATGTTACCAATCTCCCAATGTTCACTGCGTTAGGAAGTTGGTGGTAAATGTTCGTGTCCTACTAGCCATTCTAGCTTAACCGAGATAGGAAAGTGGCTTTCATTGGCTTACATATATACTTGCATAAGAGATCATCAATCATCAATTCATCTGGGCTTGTGGTCTAGGGGTATGACGTCTGCTTCGCACTACCAATATAGTGTATGCTGAAGGTCCGGGGTTCAATTCCCCGCAAGTCCATCCGTTTTGCGGTTATTTTATCCTCATGGTGCGAATTTTCCGATTTTTTTTGGCCTTTCCCTCTTCTCATTCCAGAGGCCTAACTTGGGTTCATCACCGCTAAATAGTAAAATCGGGCCTTGTTAGCTCTCCTAGATATAATATGATCAATCAATACGAACTGTGTATGGTCAAAAAGAGGAAATTTATGAAACTGCTCATTCTTTAAGAATAGTCACGTGACTCGCTGCTATCACAATGGTCAATTATCTTAGGCATCAAATGACACTCACGATCCCCGGCCTCTCCAAACCCCATCTCACCGCAGAGTCTAGCACTGGCCCGGCCAGGGGCATTGCTAACCCAATCGCAAGTCCTAGTCCCCAATTTATGTCTTGCTTCCACTGAGCAGCCTCAAGTGTGTATTTCAACTTTTCCAGAGTTCTCTTTAAGCTTGAGGAGTCCAGCTTACGCTTTGCCGTGGGTAAACATGGTTACCTACAGGAAACCTATAGGTAAAATAAAAAAACCATAGGTTACCTACGATAAATTTTGAAAACCCATAGGCTAACCATAGGTTTTTTGGATTACCCATAGGTAACCTATGGGTTTTTTTTAAAAAAATATAAAATAAAAAAAATAAAAATAATGTTTATAATATTAAATTTATTAGAATAAATATATGTCAAATTTGTACCTATCTTTTATGCCTATTAAAAACTTACGCGTAGGTATTTATAGGTTTTCTTTTTTGGGTTATAGGTTTTTTAAAAAAACCCATGATATAAAAAACCTACCTATAGGTATCTATAGGTGGGTTTTTAGACTTATAGGTAAATGGGTTATGGGTTATGGGTTTAAAGGTAAAGGCGTAGTCCAGCTTGTAGACATCCGATCTTTTCTTTGTCTATGGCTTCCTTCGTTGGCGTCTTGCTTGGCTAGCTTAACTCGCGCTCAGTCTCGTTGTGCAATAAGATTAGAATAGTTCAGGATGAAACGCTGTGCTGGTTCGAATCTGTAACTCTTACTGGAAGATTGGACCGTAATAAGCTGTTGATTCCCCTAAAGTCGGAGTTGATAATCGGAATCTGCCAAAACAGAGCAGTGTCTCAGATGACTCATCATACATAGTACTCCCACACCGCAAGTACCATTATGGTGGTTGATACGGAAAAGCAAATGTTGCTGATTGCTACTTGGTACCTGAGAGTTATGATTGATCCCGTTTGACCATAGCAGACCTACTATTTTTCTCTACTTAAAGGGACTCAATCTAGTCGGTGTCAGCCTATAACCAAAATCTTCGGAATTCTATCATGAAATTATGAGTGGTCGCGGTCTAATTCGAGTTATATATGTTTAAATACCACTTATATTTATAGTCGGTAGGTTTCCAGTGGAAACACCACCCCTAAGGAATGTCTGGCGGCGGAATGTCAGGTTGGATAATATACGCGAATGCTTTGCATAAAACTAACCCCTATTCGTCGGGGCCAATATATGTTCCTTAGATTGCAATCATATCGTTGGTGGTCAATTTACTTACATGGGCTGCCGATGACACCGATCGTAGGGATGGAGGTGGTGACTCTTCTCCTGAGAATGGCGAAGACACGCCTGGATTGGCTGGTGTAGATTGTGGTACTCTTGCAGGAGGTGAGCTAAATCTAGCTATCGATATTATCTTTTGTTTGCATATCGACGGTGCTTGCGTTAGCTGATCTTGCCAGAATTCAGCCGTGTTGAAAAACTTGTAATGCGTTTATTAAATCTATGCGTGTTATGCTACGTGGGAACTCCTATCTGCGGGCGGGGAATCCAATAGTTATAGTACAAATCACTAATAGAGTACCAAAGACAAGAGAACATGCATGCTGCTTTATCCCCGTATCTGAGTCTATGATATGTTCAGATAGGTTGGTATTCGATGGTCTTGGACATAGTTGTGTGACATGCGGTCCTAGCTATTCTAATAGTTGAAGATGGGTATAATCTGCTTCTGGGACAGGAAATTACCAGAAGCTCGACGCGGAAATCGCACGCCTGCTAGTAATTGGTATCAGATACACGAATATATCAGTCGAAAGGCCTGAAATCTGATTTAATCTCAGCCACGGTACCACGGATAGCCTCCCGATCCTCCTCGTCTAGCTCGATGCCGAAATAATCTCGTATAGCATCGATTCTCTCTTCTTCACTCTTAAGCTTGATCTGGCGGCTTGTCTCACCATCACGTCGCCACTTCAGAGTGTCTTGGAACAAGATTACCACGCCGTTGATAGTACCCCCGTCGATCCTCTCTTCGGCTGTAGCCTTCTCCCAGGCCGTCTCATCGGGCTCATTCTTGGTTACGAATCGTGTCAAGACCACCTTCTGTGTAAACCAGGAGTGAGGGCTCTTCCACGGACTTAGATTCATGCCGCTAATGTCCTCTGGTAGGAATTCAACGTCGACGAAGCAGTACATAGGTGTCCAACAGAAATTCAGATCACGATCAAAGCGGTGCTGGTAGATCCATACTTTCTGTCTATCGTCGATATGCTGCCGAATTCCTTCGTGTACGAGTCGGATCTCTGCCTTCCCTAGATGTGGTACCGGCACATCATGTTCTAGACATAAGGGGACCGTGGGGCCGTTAGCCCCAAACCCCACATCCACCATCCATCGATTGAAGCCAATAATGACGATATTATTGCAGTGTGAGAAACCGCCATACTTTTTGGTCTCCTTGTTGTACACCCGGGCGCCGGCCATGAAGACCTTGAAACCGAGACTTAGGAGCACGGTGTGAAATAGGGTATTGGCTTCCATACAGTAGCCACCGCGATGACTGGGCTCGCGGACGATCTTGTTGAAAAGATGCTGCGGTCGTACATTGATGGTACGGTGCCATGAGTAGTGCTGTGTCAGATTCTCGAATGGAATCCGGATCAGAGTGTGCTTGACAAGCCGCGCGAGGTAGCATGCTTGCGCATAATCTGAATGCTCACTTATATCATATAATCGTTCGCACTCCGGTAGCGCAATGCGATCGAACCACTGCTTAAGCTCGGAACGACTGTATCTCGGACGGTCTGCCATTTTGTGGTGACTGGATGGGGTATGGTTGGAAGAAATGCGGTGTTAGGGATGGGCTTTAGGTACCAAGCTACTGGGAATGATGTATTTATGTACGTATCTATAGATGTATGCGAAATAAATACCCGGCCTCGATCGAATCTCCGACTTGGCACTACTGGCGACTACGTAGCCGGAGAAAAGAGTATAACGACCAATTGATTCTGTACTAAGTTGGATGTTGATGATTGAAAGTCTGGGAAAACTGAATGGGACTGGAAATCAATTGAAATTTGAATTTCCTTCCTGTAAGTACCTTCCCTCTCTCGTACCTGCCGCGATTGCATACTTACTATTAGGTAAGTACCAGAAGTTACACACCAATGATGCACGTCAACAAGTACATGTATGTAGCGATCTCCAATTGTACTCAGGAGGTCGCAGCTGCTGAAGTAAATGGATATTCTATGCATGTGTACTGACCCTAGTTTTACATATATGTAGGTACACACGCATGTAGGTAGCGAGTAAGGACATTTTAAAACGTCAATTAAATCCATACTAACTAGCACACAACAGAGTATGGTATGGTATGCTCATCAAACCCTGACCTCTAACCCCCAAACTCCAAACAATGCACATGAGCTAGAACAGGACACGGAATATGTATGCCACAAGTCCAACGGTATCTCAACTATTCGAAGTAATCAAACGAGCGCACCTTCAACGACTTCCCTCTTGCCCCTACACACGGGACACCCGCCCTCGATGCGGTCCCTCAGTAGTCTTGCATGCGTGACCTTGCTACCCACGAACCGGCCGCCTCTTGTGCGGTCTTCGCCGCCGCTGCCTACCATGCCGGGGTCTACTCCCTGGTCTGGATGAAGGTACTCCAGGAGGTGCGTTATGTGGAACACATGACCGCATGCGAAGCCGACCAGTGTCTCTGTTTCCCACTCGGTAAACGGCTCGTGGCACCGCGCGCAGTGGCCCGGTTTTAGCTCTTGGTGGTCGGGGTCCGGATGCTGCTTCTGGCCCGCGGTGTTGCTCCCCGTTAGAGTAGCGATGTCCAGCGTCTCGTTCGGGGTTCCGGTTCCAGTGCCACCCGTCTTAGGCGTTGCGGTAGGCGATGATATCGTTGCTGTTGCCGACGATGAAATGGGCACCTCCTTGGCCTCGACATCTACATGATCCTGCGCGTGGGTCGTAACCTCGAATTTGATGCCTTTTCTTTGTCCGTTGCGGAGCTGGTTCTGCGCGGCTGCGACTTCGGATCGGAGGACGCGTGCTACGCCAGACGAGATGCTGTATTGGATTTCGTGCTCTTTCATGATGTGCTTTAAGCCTTCACGAAGACCTGGAATCTCGAGGCCTTCTGGTATGCGCCGGACTAAGGTAATGGGGTCAATCGATGTACCGACTTCCTCCAGCAGTGCACGGATGAAACGTGGTTTATCCATGCTGTAGTCAAGGAGATCCTCCCATAGATCTGGGTCGTCTTGCTCCTTCGCGAAACTGATGGCTTGTGAAACGTCACCTAAGCGGTCAATGATAAGATATAGAGCACGCTTCATATCTCCGGTCTTCGAGTAAAGATAGACGAGTTCGGGAATGTAATTAGCTTGTTCGCACTTCTCGACTGCCTTCTCAAACGCATATGACGTAGAAACCTTTAGGAAGTCCATTAGGAGCTCGCGGTCGAAAGTAGCGAAGATATGTACGGCTAAGTCTGCGAAGCCATCAACTAGCGACACGCTTTCGTCGACGGGTCGCTCTCGGTATTCCTGCCACAGGCCCCGGAAGTAAAAGTAGAGGTAAAGATTGAGATCTTTTTGCTCCAACTGCCTAACCACAACCTCGGGCTTGATCAGACCACGTTGTGCTTCTTCCACGAGCAACGAAATAGCCTCCGAGGTAGCTTCTTCGAGCTCCGAGATGCTCATCCGACTTAATTCTGCTTCCGG